ATTGAATCAAATATAATATATTGTTTATTAAATAATTTAAATAATTTGATCAAATTAGGTTAGATTAGGTCAGGTTGGATCAGGTCAGATCAGGTCAAATAAAAATTTAAATCAGGTCAGATTTTTGTTTGACCTGACCTGATCCTCTCAGTTCAGGTAACTTGATTGACCTGACCTAAACTGACCTGTTCAGTGCTCTAGTTTATATAATATTATTATATGATAAATTACCTAATTTTATCAAATTAAAATATTTATATAATTTTGGTTATTAACTATAGATATACTAATACATATTAAAGAATTAAAAAATAATTTATTAAAAAAATGATAATAAAGATTAGAACTAAATTTTATTTTTATATTCAAATTTATTTAATTTTAATCAGATTTGGATTTAAATCTAAATTTTAAATCTTTATTTTAAAAATTGGTAAAATAAAAAAATTTTTTTAAAATTTAATAAATTATATATATTTAGTATATTTGCATTAATTACATATAATAATACTATGATCTCAATACTTTTAATTTATTATTTATAAAATTCTATAAAAATCTTTTAAATTTTTTAATTAAGAATTTATATTTACATATTAATATTAGTCATAAGATTAGGCAAAGAAAATGTTTAGATTCTTGTGATATAAAATTTTAAAATTAATATGATCATTTGATTTTTTTTTCATTTGTAAATTTTTATAAATGTATTGTTATATTCTGTATTGTATAAATAAATTTTGTATTACATAAAATAAAGTTTGTTAAATATATATAAATCTTTTTTTCGTCACTTTTTTTTAAATATCAATAATTATTATATGTATTTTAAAGTAATATTTAAATATATAAGGCTTTCTGTTCAGTATTATCATTACTAGACAATAATTAATAATAGATAATACTAGATAAAAAATGCTATTTATTATTTATTAATTAAGCAATAGATATATGATAATAATGTCTTTTATTATTTATTAAATTTATTTATATATAATTAATAAAAAATATATATATATATTTAAAATTTACTTTTATTTTATTTATTTCAATTTTTATAAAAAAAAACAAATTATATATTATATTATTCTTTAAAATAAAATATTTTAGAAATAAACAAATTTTTTAATTTCTATTTATCTTTGAATTTTTTGGTAAAATTTCATCATTATTTAAGTTTTTATTTTTAAATCTTCTAATATTAATTTCTTTTTCTAGATTTTTATTACTTAATAAATTAGCTTATTTTTTAATTACTTTTGACTATTGTGTTTCATTTAATATTAGTAAATTATTATATCATTATTAAATATTTTTTCATTTATTTTTAATTCATTATTAAGAAGAATTGAAGTATCTTTATTATATATTTTTATAAATAATTCTTTTTGTTTTTTTATAATATCCTTAAACTTATACTCTTTAATAATTTTAGTTCGTATCTAGCTTATTATTAAAATCTTTTTATATTAAATAAAAATAAAATAAATAAATAAAAATATAAATTAAGTTATTAATTTAAAGTATATTAAAAAACTAAATAATTCTATGTATAATAATACAAATATTTAAATATCTTCTTTATCAATAATTGAGTTACTTTATAATTACATAAAAATTTAGATAAAGCAAATACCAATGTGAATTTTTTTATTTAAAATCATTTTAAACTTAAAAAGATTTCTATTCTCTAATATAATATATATAATATATAATTAATTTAACTTATTTATAATTAATTACATCTCTTAGGATATAAAATCTTATTGTAGAAAATTATCTTTTATAAATGCAGTATTAATATATATTTCAAATAAATGACTAGCAAATTATCTAATTTTAGAGTTAGATTGGAAATACTTTTTACTATTTTAAATATTATTAAATTATTTAAATGTTTTATTACAAAATAGATATTTTTGTTTTTTAAATTTTTCTAATTTTTAAAGAATAGTAATTAAATCTTTTTTAAACTAAAGATTTATAAATATAAATTAATTAATGATCAAAATATAAATATATTAAATTTTTAACAGTAAATAAAAATATTTTTAATTAATATTTTAGACGAATTGTTAAAACAAAGTATTAATAATAGTTATTCCTAACCAGTTTAATATAATTAAGATATTTAAATATTCAATTATGAAAATAAATTTATGCTTATTATTTCATTATATTTATAATATAACTAAAAAAAAAGTATTACTTAAAAATGAGTCTTATCTTATTGTACAGTTTGTATCACAAAAAGATATCCAATAAATTAATCAAACTTAAAAATGAAATAAAAAATTTTATAGTGCATATATTTAAAATATTTTAATATAGTTTGATAAACATTGATTATTGCTACAAATTAATGTTAGAATTACTCTGATTAGAAATAAAGATTAAAAGTTATTAACTGGTAAAGTTTGAGTATTTTCTTAAGTGAAAATGAATTTGAAACATATAACTCCAGCCAGAATTATATCCAAATTTTATAATTTAGGTCATATATAAATAGTTTAGATTGTATACATGTGTTGATCAACTGATCAATTTTTTTTTACTATAGGATGCCCCAAATGACAAATTCAACATTGCCAAGAGATAACAAAAAAAAGAAAACTTCAAATTGCGAAAACTAAATGTAACACAAATAAAGAAATTGAATGGATAATAAGAATGAGGTAAAGGATAAAGAAGTTAGATGGATTGATGAGGATAAAGTGAAGCAGTTTTTTTTAGTTTTAACTAAAAATATGAAAGAATTAAAATTTTCTAAACGTCCGTTAGTAAATGTAGGAAACTCACGAACAACAAAATATCAAAAAATCAAAGCATCAGAAAATTAAAAAAAATAGACAAACTCTTTATCAACTATTAAATAATCAAAATAAAACTGGTAGTTCTGATAGTAATTTTGGTAGTGTTTCTTTTGGTGATGGAAATAGTTCTGATGTCAATAATTTTGGTAGTAGTTCTTCTGGTAGTAGAAATAGTTCTGATGCCAATAATTTTAGTGGTAATTCTTCTGATGATGAAAATAGTTCTAGTGCTAATAATTTTGGTGGTAGTTCTTCTAGTAGTAGAAATAGTTCCAGTGCTAATAATTTTGGTGATGGTTCTTCTGATAGAAATGGTTCTAATGTTGATGATTCTAATATTGATTCCGATGATGCTAAAAATACATAATTAAATGCATTAGTTAATATAATTAAAGATAAATTAAAACTTAAGGATAAATATTTAACTCCAGGATATAAGTTGCAACTTAAAGCTGTTCAACATTATTTACAACTTCTTAACAAAGGACATGCAAAATTAGAAGCAAGTCAGACTTTCTAAATCGAGGAATATGGTTTGCTCATTATATTAAAAGTTAGACTAAAGCATTTATTGAATATGATAATGTTCCTGATAGTAATTGTGGAAAATATTTTAGAGGAACTAGTATTCTTGATGATGAGAATATTTAAATAAAAGTTGCATTATATTTATGATAATACAAATTTGATATAACTGTTCATGACTTTTGCAATTATATTTCTAATGAAATTTTACCTTCTGTTGGTATATAAAAAAAACTAAAATCAGGTATTTGTTTTATTATATTTGTATTTTATAAATTACTTTATTTTATAAATATATTACTAATGATCTTTACATTTTATAATAAATCTACAGCAATTCAGTAGTTAAAAAAAATGGAATTTATTTTTAGTCAATATACAAAAGGAATGTATATTGATGGTTATGAAAGAGATAATATCATTGCCTATCAAAAAGAATTTCTTGAAGTCATGTTTTAGTAACAAATTTATTTTTATTTAATTAATTTATATTATATTATATATTTATATTTATATTTTATATATATAATTTTATAGTTATCAAAAATTAATGTCAAAATTTATTAGTAATAAACTTAAAATTAGAATTGATCTAAAATTAGAAGGTGAATAATAAATACATGTTCTTGTTATTCATAATGAAACAACTTTTCAATCAAATGATAAACAAAAATCAGGTTGAAGACATAAAAATGAGCAACCTTTATGAAAAAAAGGTCAAGGAAGAACTATTCATGTTAGTGATTTTTTAACTGATACAATTGGAAGATTAAAATTAAATGAAGAAGAAATTGATAGTACAATTTCAAATGAAGCTCGTATTATAATTAATCTCAGAAAAAATTTTGATAGATGGTAGAATATTGATCAATTAATTGATCAGGTATTTTTTTTTTTATTATAATAAATTAATATAAGTTAAATTATTAAATTAAATAAAAAACTAATATAATTTAAATTCAAATTATTAGATTAAAACTCGAGTTATACCAATTTTTAAAAAACATATTCAGGCATGATTGCTGTATTTGCTTTTGATAATTCCTCTAGTCATGCAAAACTAGCTGAAGATACTTTTAATGTAGCAAATATAAATTTTAATCTTAATAGTAAGCAGCCAATTATACGTAATACAATATTTAATGGTTAAGTTCAATCTATGATGTTTCTTTCTGATTATCCTAATGAAACACTTCATGAAAAACCTAAAGAAATGAAAGTAGTTTTACAGGAATATGATTTATGAGATTCTAGATTAAAAGCTTTTTATGGTAAAAATAATACATTATTAGAAAATTCAAAATGTTATGCACGTCATGTTTTAGCTGCTCAAGAGGATTTTTGTAATCAAAAACTATTATTACAAGAAATTATTAAAGAATTAGAACATAAAGTAATTTTTTATCCAAAATTTCATTGTGAATTTAATTATATTGAAATGTATTAGAGAGCTGCAAAATGATATACTCAACAATATTATAATTATACATGGAAAGGATTATAAGAAACTGTTCCAAAAGCATTAGATTTAGTTTCTTTAAGTTATATATGTAAATATACTCAAAAATTTATGGAATGTTATAGAAAAGGATTAACAGGTTTACAAGCTGTATATGTTTTAAAAAAATATATATCACATAAAATTGTTTCGGACTTTGTTTTTGAAAATATTGATGAATTAATAAAATAAAGTTTTTTATCAGATTTTAAACTTTATTAATTATATTATCA